AACTTGTGGATCTCCTGACAAAAATATGTAATCTTTCCTTAAAATTTGCCTCCATTCCTGAGGACTGGAAGGTAGCTAACGTCACTCCCATCTTTAAAAAGGGTTCCAGAGTTACAGGCCAGTCAGTCTGACTTTGATACCAGGTAAGTTGGTGGAAACTATTATTATAGAAAGTATTAGGAACATAGATGAACAAAACTATTGAGAAAGACTCAGCATGGGTTCTGTAAGGGAAGATCTTGTCTCATTAACCTGTTAGTGTTCTTTGAGGGAGTGAACAAACATGTGGACAAGGGGGGCCCAATAGATGTTGTTTACCTTGACTTCCAGAAAGCTTTTGATAAAGTTCCTCATCAAAAGCTCCTAAGTAAGCTCAATAGTCACGGGATAAAAGGACAAGTCCTCTTGTGGATCAAAAACTGGCTAAATGGAAAATTTTCTCAGTTGAGGGTGGTAAGCAGTGGGGTACCACAGGGATCAGTACTCGGTCCAATGCTTTTTAACTTGTTTATTAATGATTTGGAGTTGGGAGTAAACAGTGAAATGCCTAAATTTGCAGATGACACAAAGTTGTTCAGGGTGGTGAGAACCAGGAAGGATTGTGAGGCACTCCAAAGGGATAGGTGTCAACGTGGCAAATGGGGTTCAATGTGGCCAAGTGCAAGGTGATGCACATTGGAGCAAAAAATCCTAACTATAAATACAAATTGATGGGGTCTGAACTGGCAGAGACTGACCAAGAGAGAGATCTTGGAGTCGTAGTAGATAACTCAATGAAAATGTCAAGACAGTGTGTGACTGCAATAAAAATGGCCAACGCTATGCTGGGGATTATTAGGAAGGGAATTGAAAACAAATCATCCAGTATCATAATGACCCTGTATAAATCAATGGTACGTCCTCATTTGGAGTACTGTGTACAGTTCTGGTCACCACACCTCAAAAAGGATATTATAGCATTGGAAAAAAGTGTAGAAAAGGGCGACTAGAATGATAAAACGGTTGGAACACTTTCCCTGTGAAGAAAGGTTGAAGCACTTGGGGCTCTTTAGCTTGGAGAAACAACGGCTGAGGGGTGACATGATCGAGGTTTATAAGAATATGCATGGGATAGAGCAGGTTGAGAAAGAAGTACTTTTCTCCCTTTCTCACAATACAAGAACTTGTGGGCACTCAATGAAATTGCTGAGCAGTCGGGTTAGAACAGATAAAAGGAAGTACTTCTTCACCCAAAGAGTGATTAACACATGGAATTCACTGCCACAGGAGGTGGCGGCTACAAGCATGGACAGCTTCAAGAGGGACCTGAATAAACATATGGAGCAGAGGTCCATCAGTGGCTATTAGCCACAAAGTATAGATAGGAACTCACAGGCTGGGGCAGGTGATGTACTGTATTCTTGTTGCTTGGGGGGGGGGCAACAGTGGGGAGGCTTCTAGTGTCCTGGCCCCACTGATGGATCATGGACCTCCTGATGGCACCTGGTATTTTTGGTCACTGTGTGACAGAGTGTTGGACTAGATGGGCCATTGGCCTGATCCAACATTGGCTTCTCTTATATTCTTATGCTAGAGCATCTGTTTCGCATGCATAGGTTCCCAAATTCAATCTCCAGCATCTCCAGCTGAAAGGAACAGGTAGGTGATGTGTCTGTCTCTGAGACACGGGAAACCTACTACAGTCAGAGTAGAAAATTCTACCCTTGATAGACCAGTGTTCTTGACTCCATGATAGACCAGCTGTCTGACTCCATATAAGTTAGTTGCATGTGTTCATATCAGATATCTTGAGTACAGACAGAATATAATCACAGACTGCTCCAGCTTTTTAAGTAGACCAGAACTCAGATATAAGTACACAAACAGTCCCGTGAGCTATTTTATTGTTGTGCTTTATTGTTGTGAGAGATGAAAACCAAGTGCTTAGGGATACTTATCCACCTGTAAACTAATATATTATTTATTTCTTTACATTTACATTATTTATAGTCTATCTTTTCCACAGAAACTCAAAGCAGGATTACACATAGTGAGCCAGTACAATTCCCAAAATGGGACATTCAGTAACCAATGCATTTGTATTTTAGAAGTCTGGAACCACCAGAAAGAACTGAAGCACAGCATAATTATTCACATGACACATTAAGTGGTACAGAAATTATACAAATACAATCCTACTTACAATAAGCTGTACACAGCAGTATAGATCAAGAGTCCCTAATCATTTATCCAAGCAACTTTGTAAAACCATTTTGTGCAGTGAAACCCCATAATTTGCACAAAAAACCCCTCTTGAATAGTTCAGGTTTGCATAGTTCACGGAGAGTGGGAGCTTTCCTGAACTCATCAGGCTGGCCATTCCACAAGATGGGAGCCACAATGGAGAAATTATACTTGATGGTTTTTCTCTTCCACCATTTATTCAGCACATTCAGTGAGAAAAGCAGGTTTACAATATCATTGTGAGATTGCCATTGCACAGGTGGAACTAGGGCACGGCCAAGTGTATCACACATTATATAAAACTGATCTTTTGCTGGTTTTGGGACTTGGCAAGTCCTGATGTTGGTGTAACTGCCACCTAACCCCATTTGCTGTGAACCTTGATTATAGCTTTCAAAGTAGATTTTTTCAGGGCAGGGCTGCTGAGGATTTGATAGACGCATCAAATTCACCATGTGACCACACTGAAATATGGTCAAATATTCCATGGAGCAAAGAATGTTACTGTGCTGATGGCAACTTATCTTTTTTAAGTTCCATTATGGTGTCACTTGTGAGGGCTGCTTGTCCCTAGACCTGTACCATCAAAGGCAAACCTAGCAGCACAGCAAATTGCAGGCATCTCCAAACTGGAAGGATTTACTTCCTCCCTACTTCTCACAATTCCCTTTAAAAACTACTGTTTACTATTAAGACGCTGTTACTTTGCTTTTTGTATTCTGATTTCATTTTTAAAAAAACTGTAAATGCATTTTGGTGTTTGATGATAAAAGACAGACAGAGAACCAGTGAATGATTCACATTTAGAGAACCTTTGCCTGACACTGCCAAAAGTTACAGTAAGTTATTTCAATTATTAAAAAGTTAATTTCATTGCTTTTACAACATTAACTAATTTGTTTTTATACCCAGCATAAATGTCAAGCCAATGCTGATAACTTTTCAGAGGCTGTACTAAACTTAATCCTTTAAAAAATTGACTCATATTTTGACCACACGGTAGACCTAATTTTTGTGAAAGGTCATATGGAAAACTCTAGGGTTGCTTGATCATTTTCGAAATGAACAGTGCTGATTTGCAAAATTAGTGTTTATTGCAAAAATAGGCAGAAATCCTCCCAACCGTCAAATAGTTTTCATGGCAATTAAATCTATCCTATGGAACTGGGATAGAGTTGCCAACTGCCTTGAGAAAAAAGTCTGGTCCCTTTAACAGAGGCTTAATGGGTTATTTAGTTGGTGATGCCATGTAAAAGCTTCAGCTGCCTATTAAAGGGAGAGGACATTTTTCTCCAGGCATGTTGGCAAACCTACACTGAGCTATTTACAGTGCAATTCTATGCAACTTTACGCCAGTCTAGTCCCATTGATTTCTGGGACTGGAGTAACTTTGCATAGGATTGTACTGTTATTCTGTCTTTGCCTCAGTAAGCAGCCTGTCAGAGCTCTCTCAGCTCCACCTACCTCACAGGGTGTCTGTTGTGGGGAGGGGAAGGGAAAGGAGTTTGTAAGCCGCTCTGAGACTCCCTTGGGTAGTGAAGGGCGGGGTGCAAATCCAATCTCTTCTTCTTCATCATCATCTTCTTTATAGAACTACAAAAACTAAAATAAGGGGTTTTTTACTGATGCAGAAAGTTGAACTGTTAATAATGTATATATAGCTTTCAAAGCTTCTGCATATTTGCATTACACTGAGTTTCTTTTAGCAATTTCAGAAATTGCATGTGATACACATATATTGGAAATAGATTACATTTTAGATAGACAGACAGACATAGTTGTCTTTTTATTTTTCAAAGGTAATGCCATCACTGGGTTTTTTTGTTGGGTATTTTTTTGCTTGTTTTTTGCACATCTCTGTACAATAGCCTTTGGTGCCTTTTGACAACAATTTACACCCAGCACCACCTAATCCAAGTAAGGCTGTGGCTCCTAGCATGCAGAAGGTCCTGGGTTCAATCCCTGGCGTCTTCAGTTAAAAGGATCAAGTAGTAGGTCATGTGAAAAACCTCTGCCTGAGACCCTGGAGAGCTGCCGCCGTTCTGAGTAGACAGTTCTGACTTTGATGGACCAAGGGCCTGATTCAGTATAAGACAGCTTCATGTGTTCATGTCTTCAAGTCTACAATATATCCTGTATTACATTTTAAAACACTATAAAATGAAGACTAGGGCCTTTCTCTATGATGGCCTGCCACATTTTTCTTTTCCCATAACCCCCACTGGCTCCCCCTCTTTTTTTGTTCTGAATAGTCAGCTTGATGGAAAGTTCTGGAGAAGTAAAAAAATTCCCCACTGTTCTTTGACACTTGTCAATGAAAAAGTAGTACACAGGTGTTGTTTTTGGAATTTTTAATGGACTAATGTGGCTCCCTCCAATCTTAATCTATTACCTAGTATATACATAAAAATTACTTTGGAAAATATATTAGACTGTGAATATATTACACATAACATATTAAAACACAATTTATGTAAACAAATATATACGATTTATGTTTAGAGAGTGAAAAAGTAACACATTTTCTTTATGTATGGTAAAATCCTTCATTTTAAAAATACTGAGAATTACTCTCCAATCTCATAAGATTCATTATTTGAAGGTTAGCTATAAAAAGATTTCATGATTTCTCACTAGTATAGCCATACAGGAGTGAACTGGACAACACCAGTATTAAGTGATAAGTGAATCTACCCAATATAGTGAAGTCAGTGACATACTTTTCATCCAGTTTATCATGATATAACAGTAACCAAGATGTCCTTAATAAAATATACTCATCTAAAAAATGTTTCTATAGTACATTTAGAATTGTTTGACTTGGCTTTCTTGGATGTGGACTGGGGAGCCATTGTTCCAGACCTAAAAAGAAAGAAATACACGTGTCACTAAGTAAATAAAACAATTTTAATAGCAGTACAGTTAATAGAGACAAATTCTAAAGACTGAAATAAAAGTTCACTTGGCAATGAGCACTTACCGTTTTGTTCCTGTTGTGGAATTTGTACCATATTGTTCTCTGTCCAAGTTTCCTAAGGAAACAAATATTTTAGCTGAAAACCAGAAGATATACTGTGGGAATTATATATAACAAGTGTGTGGAGGGGGGCTGAGATAAGGGCAAAGGGGGAAGAAGCCTTCCTCCCCCCCCCTTCATATCTACTGCTCTCTCCTTCCTCCTCCTCCTGCCACATTACTTCCCTTACTCACTTCTTCTGCCCTGCAACAGCACCCGCACAACCCCCCTCCTTCTATCTCATTTTGTGCCTCTAGGGGAAGTGAGACATCTCTTTTGAGTGATAATGTCTGGGTTTTCTGAAAATACAGAAAACACAGCTGGTCTCAGGCAAGGGTCAATGACAGGTATTAGCAGGAAAGATGAATAGAAAGAAGAAATGCAGCCTTTGCAACTGATTCTGAGAAGAGGTTGCTGAGTCCACTCAAGCCACTTTTGCCACCAAACCAGTTGTGGCGCCTGACATCTCACGGCACCCAGCCAAACTAGGCCCTAAACCATTCTCCAAAGGGGCTTATGCTAGGGCTGAGGACTAACTCTCCCCTATAGGGCCCAGGGCCAACCTGGTGAGCCCAGTGTTTCTACCTATGCACTGCTCTCTACTGCTGTGGGGATACTTCCAAGCAGTCCTAAGAAATATATTACTAGTACCCTTTTTGTATTGTCTGTAACTGGGCTGGTGATATACCGAATAAACTGAACTGAACAGCCCTAAGAATAGGAGAATTCATTATAATAAGTCTTAATGAAGCACACTTTAGGTCCAGATGACAAGTAACCTATGAGCCAGGGTGTCTAGTTCAAATCTTACCTCGGCAACAAACTTGCAATGTGGGTAATAAAATTAGCTTACGGTATGGTTCTTCAAGACTCCTGAAGCAGCTTTTTTCCCTGAATAAAAATCACACCTTTTCCTTCACAAAATAAAAAAACAAACAACTCTTCCTCCTGAAAGTTTACTTGCCATGCTGCATCTGAGGTGCTCAAAACATACTTTTAAAATACTTCTATATGACTGATAAAACTCACCCATGCTTTTTGAACTTTCTGTCAGCTCCTTGATAATGCCTTTATTTAAACAAACATCCACATGTTTGTTAAACAATGCAAGATCCTTTGTATTCTGTTCTAGGTTGCAGACTGGACAAACTAAAGACTTGGTTTCAGTAGTGGTGGAAAAACGTGGCAATTTGATTTCTGTACGGCTGGACTGCTCATAATTTTCTTCTTTTCCCACTGATAATAATTTAGAAGAAACACCTTGTTGTGTTGGCATACCAAATATAAAGTCATCAGGACAGTTATATCTACTTTGACTACTGTACTTATTGTCTTTCAGCTGAGGGAAGCCATCTATGCTGCTACTGAAAGAGTTGTTGACTTTATCTGTTCGCTGTACTTCTACATGTGGCTCACTTGTTTTATCTTTCTGACATTTGTTTGTTTGGCTTTCCAGAGACAAATCAGTCTTGTTCTCCCATAATTTGCTGCCATTTGTAATTTCTGCATTATCTTTTTCCACTGTTTCACTGAGACAACTGTCAATGTGCCTGTTAAATGCTTCTAAACTGCTATCTCGATGCTCTTTGAAGCAAACAGGACAAATGAAGATCTGATGGTCATTATCTTTCGGTTGTTCAATTGATGTTGCTGACTTTACATCCTGTGGACTCTGTTTGCTTGAAGACTCATTTATAGAAGTTTCTTTATTAGCCTGCTGTATTGTAGCTCGCTTTTTATTGAAGAAACTTTCTCTTTCAGATGCTTTAGGAAAAATTTCCTCACCAGATTTCCTTGGCGAAAGCCTAGAACTAGAGTCTTGTTTTCCTGGCTCTAAGAAATGAACAATGCTCTTTTGTTGATATTTCTTTTCCTCTTCATTTAGAAAACCGGATACTCGTACACCTGAATATGATAAACAAGTCATAGAAATTTGATCTGTAACAGAGTTGAGTTTAAAAGCCTTGTCAAAATCAACATTTACATGCATGTAATTCGGCTTTTGCAAATAGTCCATTTTAATAAGAATTACTGGAATGGACTTTGCAAGCCTAAAAACTGCATGCTATTCTAATCTTCCTAGGAATGACAGAGTTTGTACAGAGATACACAGTGCCATAAGTTTCATACAAAAAGGTTAGTTGCTAGAGGGAACATATATCATAGAATACTTAGTCACTGAACAATGATCTCTTGGAAGCTTTGATCTTTAAATGTTAAATGGTATTTAAAGAAGGATGGCATCATACTCAAAATGCAGGTCTCCGTACCAAGGGCAATCTCCTAAACAGGGACAGGCATGAACTTGGAAAATGCGGTTCATATCAGTTCGGGGTTAATAGCTAACCAAACCAGTGGTTTCTGGCTCCACGAACCCTGTTGAAAGGAACTGCAGTCCCTTTCCATGAGGTTTGCAGACTGCCCCCCAAAAACAGCTGAGCCACGGGGAGCAGCCTGTTTCCTGCCACTCCGCTGTTTCGGGCTGTCTTGTGCAGTGCCTTTAAAGTTTGAAGAGTGTGGGCGGGAAGCACCTCCCCTCACTCAGCTGTTTTTGGCCTGTCTTCTGCCATCCCTTTAAAGTGTAAAGGGTCTGCACAAGATAGCCCAAAACATCTGAGCAGCGGGGAGCGTTCCCTACTGCACAACTGTTTTTGTGGTTTTCACAGAGAACAGAAATCAGGGGTTTAAAGGGACTCGGAGTCCCTTTAAACCCCTCTATCAATGGACCACCACAAACTGCCTTGAAGTTTGTGATGGCAGACCAGTCAAGAACTTCGGTTTGCAAACCACAGGGCAAAATTAATGACAAATTTTGCTTCGTGGTTCAATTTGTGCCTATTCCTACTCCTAAAGCAGATACATACTTCATTACTATTTAAAAAATTAATTGCACTAGCCCCCCCATGACCTCCCCACCCTCCTCTGCTACCTACGGGAGACCTGCTCAAGGAGCCACAACCCCCACTCACCAGGAAGCAAGGTGGGACCCAACCGACGTTGGAGAGGAGGGGATGCTCAGCCAGCAACAGCAGCCGAGAGCCCCAACGGGCTGGAAAGGGGCCTGGGCGAGGTGAAGGTGGTGGGAAGCCTGGGAACAGTGGCAACTGCAGTCATGCCGGGCCACAGGCCCGGTGCGAGAGCACAAGCACACCCCCGAGCTCCGCATCTCCAGGCGGGTGGGGGCAGCGACAGGCCAGGCAGTAAGGAGGCAGAGCGGAGGGTGGATGTTGGAGCACTGCCCTGAGAAGAGGCGCAGCATCTTTCCTTACATAGGGGGGCGGGGCCAGAAGGGGCAGGAGTGGGTGAAGGGAATAAAAGGAGGCAGCAGCGATGGGTGGAGGAGGACACAAGGAATAGAGAGGCCACACTGAGAGAGACGGATTGCCTAAAGCCTGGTGTGGTCGGATAGCAGGGGTTGGTGACGTAACCTCCCCTGTACTGGTCAAGTTGGTGACCCTAGTTGCCTCCAGGGGAAGCTTGCAGCGACGGCGGAGAGCGCTACTGACCCCAAGTCCAGCGAGAGTGATGAGGGGTCAACCAGCTTGTGTGACAATGATTTATACTTGTTACTACTGGAAAATTTCGGAAAGATGGGCTTACTGGCAAGTCATGGCATACAGAAAGATTATCTATGACTGAAGACCATGAACAACAGACAAGTAACATCTTCATCTTGAACACTGGGCCTGTTGCAGATGCTGCCTGGATGCTTTCATTTTTACCTACAGAGATATTTCGTTTTTGTAAATGCAAGCTGGAAGAAATCCAAATTCTCCCTGGAATTCCCTGAACTTAATAGCAACTGACAGCTATCCCTATTCATGCCTAATGGGACACCATATCTCTCCCAGAAAACTGGGTAGTTGCAAAGAAGTTGCAAAAGTGAAGAGCTAAGAATTCTTATATTTCAATAAAATATTCTAACAATTCATATTCCTGTACAACAATTTTTCCAGTTAGAAAAGCAGCTTGTGAGCAAATGTAGGGACAGTGTGTTTATTAAGAATGTCTCTTCTCAGAAACATCAACTATTACTTTAATGCACACATAATACAAGCAGTTAAAATAATTTTAAAATGATATTACCCATCAATCTGAGGTGTAAAGTCTGTGGGGCCACACCTTCCATTTCTATTTTCAGTAATTCTTTAGCAACAGCAAATATTTCTTCTCCAGTAGAAACTGCCGATAGTACTGTACTAGCTCTTGTTTTCACTTCAAAGTTTACATTCTTCAATTTTAAAGTAACAGTTCTAGCCTATTAAAGAGAATAAACTTCCTTAAACATACTGTTAAGGTCTTTTTCTGTGGTGTTACAGAATTTAGAAATCATAACGTGGCTTAAAAATAAGACATGCAACCCTTTTACAGTAAGTATAAATTTCACATGGTTATACTTTCCAGCATTTTATTTCTGTTACACTTTAAAACTCTATGGATGTCAGCATTTGGTAATTAGACTATACACAGATGCATTGCAGCACATTCCTGATAAGTGTACAGACCATGTCTATCATAACTGTGGGGATTTTGCTAGATAGTTAAAATAAATACAACAGCATGTCTGATAGGTAGTTATACTTGGGTACTAATGTCACAAAATAAACAAAATCACTGCACTAATATATATAAAAATATGTTAAGCAAGACCAGGATGTATATTGTTTACAACACTGCCGCTAGTACTGACTACCCTTTCAGAAGGGACAACTGTAGTTTAAATCAAGTATAAAAAGAAATTATCACACCAAGTAATCTAATTTCCCCCCCCCCCCCAATTTATATTTTCTCACTTGAACTCAAGGTGGATTACACAGAGCAGGTCAGTACAACAGACAGGATGAGACATTCAGTAGCTAATGCAACAGGAATTAGGATTGTTGAACCAACCAGAAGTCTAAAAACAGAACTGAAGCAAAGCATAAGTATTAACATGACACACTAAATGAAGCAAATTTCCACAGCAGGATCCGCGTTTCAGCAGGTTATACACAGTACTATAGACCACAGTCCCTAATAATTTATCCAAGTAACTTTCTGAAACATAAGAACATAAGAGGAGCCAATGTTGAATCAGGCCAATGGCCCATCCAGTCCAACACTCTGTCACACAGTGGCCAAAAATACCACGTGCCATCAGGAGGTCCAGCAGTGGGGCCAGGACACTAGAAGCCCTCCCACTGTTGACCCCCCCCAAGCACCAAGAAGTCAGAGCATCACTTGCCCAAGAGGGAGAGTTCCTATCTAATTCCCTCCTGAAGCCATCCATGCTTGTAGCCACCACCACCTCTTGTGGCAGTGAATTCCATGTGTTAATCACTCTTTGGGTGAAGTACTTTCTTTTATCTGTTCTAACCCGACTGCTCAGCAATTTAATAGAGTGCCCACGAGTTCTTGTATTGTGAGAAAGAGAGAAAAGTACCTCTTTCTCGACCTGTTCTATCCCATGCATAATCTTACAAACCTCGATCATGTCATCCCTCAGCTGTTGTTTCTTCAAGCTAAAAAGCCCCAAGCGCTTTAATCTTTCTTCATAGGGAAAGTGTTCCAACCCTTTTATCATTCGAGTTGCCCTTTTCTGCACTTTTTCCAAAGCTATAATATCCTTTTTGAGGTGTGGTGACCAGAACTGAGGTTGCACCATTGATTTATATAGGGGCATTATGATATTGGCTGATCTGTTTTCAATACCCTTCCTACTAATCCCCAGCATAGCATTGACCTTTTTTACTGCAGTTGCACACTGTCTCGACAATTTCAGTGAGTTATCTACTACGACTTCAAGATCTCTCTCTTGGTCAGTCTCTGCCAGTTCGGACCCCTTCAAAGTGTATTTATAGTTAGGATTTTTGGCTCCAATGTGCATCACCTTGCACTTGGCCACATTGAATCTCATTTGCCACGCTGACGCCCACTCACCCATCCTTGACAGATCCCTTTGGAGTGCCTCACAATCCTCCCTGCTTTTCACCACCCTGAACAACTTTGTATCATCCGCAAATTTAGCCACTTCACTGCTTACTCCCAACTCCAAATCATTAATGAACAAGTTAAAAAGCATCGGACCGAGTACTGATCCCTGCGGTACCCCACTGCTTACCACCCTCCACGGAGAAAATTGTCGGTGTGTAAGCTTCAGCATAATGATCATAAGAATCTGACAGCTGACAGCTGCACTGAACTGGATTCAGCCGGTTTGGACTTGGCAGAGGCAAGCCAAGTCACCATGAGTCAGCACTGATCTGATTGGCTGACCAATGTATATATGTAGTTGTGTATTACTGTATGTTCTCTCTTGGAAGGTGTCTGGTGTCTGGCGGAGCAGTTTGTTGGCGAGCTGTATATATTGTAAATAAATTTCCTGTATATAGTAACCACTGGACTGTCTCAGGGTGATTGACTATAGGAAAGCCTCTGGTGAATGGAATGACTGCTGGTGAGTGCAAGTGTGACTGAGGTGCTGGTTCAACTTCTTCAAACGCGCTGCGCAACAAAAATTTCCCATTTATACTCACAGTGTGACTCTATTGCCTGCATTAAAAAAGCCTTCAAATAATTAGGTTTTGCATAGTCTGAAGAAAGCCCAGAGAGGGAACCTTCCTGACCTCCTTAGGCAGGCCATTCTATAAGGTGGGAGCCATAATGGAGAAGGCACGTGTATGGGCAGTTGTTGATTTTGCTCATTTGCTGGTTGGCGCCTGCAGAAGACCCTGCTTCAGTGATAATTATAGATTTTATGCTGATATCATGAACAAGCTTCTATTCTCCAGAGGTATAAAATTTGACTTGCTGCTGTTCCTTGTGTACTCCCTCCCTCCTTCCTTGGGACGTGGAGTGTAATGGAAAGTTTCCTAATTTTAGAAGCCTTCAGTCAAACCCTTGTTGGTCTGTGAGGTGCTACCGGACTTGAATCTACTGCAGACCAACACAGCTACCCTCTAAAACAGTCAAACTCCAAGTCACCTTGACATCCTGGCACCTGGACACACTGAAGTTTGTTTCTTCTCCATAAACTGGGATTTTAAATCATAATTTAATCTCAATTTGTAGGAAGGAAGCAAATTTCAATTTGCCCAAATGGCCTTAATTCAGAAGCCATGGCAAATCGGGGTTTGATTCAAGGTTTCCAAAAGTAAACTAGCCAGATGGCTACTACATGAACTTTTTGTTCCGTGTAGTATAGGGCAAAAGTAGTTCATTATGCTTCTCTAATTGTCTAAATAATATGCCAGCTGCACATTAATATAGGGATCAGCAATGTAGGCCGTCTGGAAGACACAGAATCTGAAGAACCCAAATAAGGGGGTTTTAACAGAGAATCTGAGGAACACAAGTAACCTGTTTTTATCAGACCAAGTGAAAAACCTTGCAGCATGGTGAGGGGGCTGTGTTCTTCCTGCTCCTGCATTTATTTACTTACTTAAAATATTTATACCCTGTTTTTCCCTCCTAGGACAGGGCCCAAGGCTGCTTTTACATAAAATTAGAATTATATTTGGGCTCTGCTGCTTTGCTTTACTTGAGCATCATCATTCAAGCAAAGACATTATGATTTATACATATCTGCACCCAAGAAATCCACTGGAAAAATATAGTGTTCAAAAATGTAGATACTTTTTGAATGCTGGATCTAGTTTCCTGACCAGGGCGGGGGAGAAAGACAGAACACAGAGGGCTCTCACAAAGCACATATATATGAGCATACAGGTTCACTTCCTATAATGAACACAATTCAGGGAGTTTAAAAGCCCTGAACTGCACAATTCTCACACAACTGTTCATTTTCCCATCGAAATACCAAAGGTTACTTAGAATTGGCTTCTTCATGAACCACTACATGCACATATGCATGAAGATGAATCAAGAAGTACACTCTTTGTCATGTTCTACTATTGAAACTTTTCTTCCAGCAATCCGTAAAAACCCTCAGTAGCGGCTACAAATATTTGAACCAAAGATAAACATTATTTATTCTGTGGCTTGATAATTATTACTTGCCCCAAAATATTCAGAGATAGGATGGCCCAGAGAATCTGAGTAACTAATAGAAACTATTTTCAGACAGTGACTGTGTTGGGCTGCAATCGACCGAAGGGAACGAAGGGAACTTTAACTCTCCAAAGCTCATATCCTCCAAAACCTTGTTGGTCTCTAAAGTGCTACTGGACTGTTCTAATAGCACCTAGAATTCTAGATATCACCCGGACTGTCCCCGATTTCCCTACCATACAGATGAAACAATACAGCTGAATTTCCACGTATACAGTATATTTATTAAACTAGTGTCTGCTCCAAGCTGCAACCAATATGAATTAGATAGGGAAGAATGGCACATCTTTTAAATGTGTGATCATTATATATATTCTTTACCAGCATAAAACCAAAGGCAATCCATTACTGCTTAATTCTTTTGCTAATTAGCAGCTTTTACTAAAAACTACTCTATGCAAAATTACTTGAGTTGTTTTTGAAAGTCACAAAATAATCCTGTTACTAAGGAACAACAGAAAACAGCCCACACTCAAAATACTTTGCCTAGAGTGGGCAGAGGTAAATGACCAAGGGGGTGGGGAGATGGATACAGAAGGCCAGATACTACTGACAATAGAGTTACTAGGCCCAGCTTAATGACCAACAGGAAACTGGGAGGTAGTGGTGGTGTAGGGGAAGCCAGCAATGCTGTGATGTCACTTCCAGGGAAAAATGGGAAGTGATGTCACACCCCCTAGGAAATGCCAGAAGCTCTATGGTCCCTGGTGATTCCTAGAGAGACATGACACCATTTCTGAGTTCTCCAGACGTAATGTCACACCAAGTGAATTTTTTTTCTCCTGCCAGCTGCTGGAGTACAGGCAAGCAAGGCCCACTGGGGACAACCCTGACAGGCATATAGAATTTCGTATTTTATCCTAGAGTTACTTACTTTAAGTCCTTCCCTTTGCAAATCCTCAGCAAGGTCGCTGCAAAGGTCTTGACACAACCTGTACTGTTCTGCAGCACTTATTTCATTAAATGTCCTAGATGTCCAAATAAAAAATAGCATTATATTTCATATTGTAGAATTTCAGCACTACTGACCTCAAATGTCACAGGTAAACATGACATTTTTCTACTATGCTATGGTCTGTAATCTACATAGAATCAATCTAGAAAATATACTGGACATGATGACTATATAACTATTTCAGTGTGGCTTTTTGAATTCAGTACCCTCTCAATATGTAATACAGAATAATTAAAGAAAAAACCAAAATATAGTTCCTTTACATGCTGCTGCTGTATAACATAAATAGGAAGCAATGCCTGAGAACTAATATATAGCCAAACAATACTAAAGACCGAAAAAGACTGTGTGTTGATTTTTGTCTACAGTTTATTTTTCTCATCAAGCACAAGAGATCTAATAAGCAAAACAGAAACAGTACAAAAAAGCATGAGGCATGTCAACTGATGCAGAAAATGGAGTTATAGAAATAAAAAACAGTGCAGTAAGAGTAAGGCATAGCTACAGTTCTGTCCTTTATATAAGCCGTCCATTTCTTTTTAAGTTCTTTTCATAGGCCTTCCTGAACCTTCCATTATACTGTTGCCCTATAACCTTTACAAAAATGCCCTCCTGAGCAACTCATTTACATAGTTTACACAGGGAGGGGCTGCGGCTCAGTGGTAGAGCATCTGCTTGGCATGCAGAGGGTCCCAAGGTTCAATCCCCAGCATCTTTAAATGAAAGGATCAGTTAGTAGGTGCTGTGAAAGACCTCAGCCTGAGACCCTGGAGAGCTGCTGCCAGTCTCAGTAGACAATACTGACCTTGATGGATTCAGTATAAGGCAGCTTCATGTGTGCATGTGAGTTTGTGAAATGATGGAAGTGTGTGTGTGGGGGAGGGGGCTATCTGGCCCCCTCAGGCAGGCCATTGTATAAGAAGGAAGCTGCAACAAAGAAAACCTTCTATGGGCAGCTATCAATTTTCTCCATTTGCAGAGTGGCAGCTCTAGAAGACTTTGTTAGTAGAAGTATCTTTGTATTTTTGAAAGATGGCTGGTCTTTTTTTTAATACATTTTCTTGGAACAGTAATATGTATTCCTGTGACATCACTAACCATGAAGAAGGATTTTTTTTAGTATCACATTTGTATTTCTAATTGAACTAGGCCTAATTATGCAAGAAAGCCCAAGTTCACTCTTATTCTGAAATAGTTTAAGCCTTTATAAAGCAAAGTCCTCATGGGATGCCTGTTTGCAGTGAATGCTGTATGAAGTCAGGAGTGGGCAATTGCCTCTTCCCATTTAATGAAGGAAGATGTCACTGGAAAGAGGCAAGCCAAGCCATAGGCTGAACATAGTCAAGCAGCTTCCCACTTCATATGACCAAAATGTTTGCTACATGTAGTGTTGCATTAGCGTTTCCATCAGTAAAAAAACCTTTACAGGAATTTTACTTATCAGTTCTAGTGGATATAAATATGAGTACATACCTTTCGGTGCTCATACTTTTTCTTTCTCCATCCCTTTAAAAAGGAAACATAGAATGTACAATCAAGCACTGATTTTTTAAAATCAAACCTGTTTTTACCATCTTCAATAGTATATATTTTCTTGGTGAATTATAATATTTAATATTTTATGTACTATTCATTATAAAAGGCCATTATAAAAATAAATGTAAAACATCCTTAATATTTATCAGAATTTTCACAGATAAATGGTTCAAATAAAAAAGCAAATGCATCGTTACCCTTTATAACATTGCAACCTAAGGAACATACATTTACAAACTAGTGTGGCATAGCAGTTAGAATGTTTGACTTGGTCAAATTCCATCTTTGCCATGTAACTCAGTGAATGCCTCTGGGCCAGTCACTCTCTCCCAGCCTAACCTACCTCATGTATGCCACCCATGACACCAATGGGGGAAAGGTGGGATAGAAAATAAATGAATACATCTATTTTAGAGTAGTTGTCTATAAAAGCACAGGAAAATGTATAAAACTTATCAGAACTTGGTTCGGTTAAATAAATGTTTTTAAAGATATAAAACAAATATAGTCAGTTTTACATTTAAGAAGGGATGAACAAGCCCCCTACCACCTCCTTTCCTTCCCCCACTTCCTTATTTCATTTCCCTAACTACACTTCCTGCCACTGCAGTCCCTCTCCCCCCCCCACTCCTTATCCCAGTCCTTCCTTCCCCAGGCCTTACAATCATCAGTGCTACAGTCCTTCCTGAACCTCCCCCCCCCCACTGCTGCTCTTCCTTACACCCCACCACCTCCTTTCCCCTGGCCACTGCCAATACCACCTCTGTACTTCCTCTGCCCCAAACCGTCCCTCTGCTGATGCCATTTCAGCAATGTTCATTGGAGCTGCTAGGCAACACCCCAAATTGCACCTGTTGTTTTTTTTACAGTTACAATGTCTGTGTAACTGTACACATTGCCACAGTGGTTTTTTTGTTTACTCACTTTTTTCATTCTCTGCTTTTTTTCCCTGCAGAGACCTGGGCTTGCAGAATTATCTCCTGCATTCCTGGGTGCCCACCTGTGCAAATTTTTTGATCTGCATGGGGGAGCTAGGTTTGTACTTAGTTATATCAAGCAGATACTGGGTTAAATAAACCTGAGATTTTTTGTGACGGTACTCATTGGTATTCGTACCTTTATTCGAGGCTCTCCCAAGTCTTGAGCAAGGAATTGATGGAAAATGGCACGACCTTATATACTAGCAGCTCCCCCCCCCCACAAAAAAGCACTGAAATAAACTGCTGATTTAATCAGTATAAGACAGTTTTGTATGTTCCCTATAAATATAAAATGTAACATACTAACAGAACCAGAGAACTTAACCAGTTACACATAAAATACCTTTCCAAGTGTGTGGAACCCAAACCAAGTGATATTTCCAGAAAACTGCGCCACGATGTTTCAGAAAAGAGAAGAGAAATTAATGCCCTCTGCTGGTAAAGGTCCATACAAGTCACAATTCCCAGCGCTTTAAGCATTTTTTCTGTTACTTTTCCTATGCCGGGCACCTGAAAGAGTGTTAATATGAATCAGTAAAATTGAAAGCTTCCATTAAATCAACCGTAGTAAAATACTTCCTGGGGAAATGAAAATATTTATTAATTCCACTTGGTCTCAATGATCAACTGAGTAACTATGTTCTTGGAACTAGAACCATTTGTTAAAAGGATTTCACAAAGAGCGAGCATAAATAGCTGCATGGCATTGCTGAGTGCTGCCCATAGCTAGTAAACCTAATATATTTTTCTGCAATGACACTGAGCTAATTCTAAAATCTTGAGCCACAAAATAATATGCATAAATAAAGAGGTTTAACACCATCAAACCTCATTTAAGGGCTGGAAGCCCAGCAGGAACTCATTTACATAATAGACCACACCCAGCAGCAGAAACTCATTAACATATAGGCCACACCCCATGCCTTCCCTTGGCTTGCCTGGGCCCCCTGGGGCCATGAGGCCCAGTAAATGCTGTATCGATTTGACTGATTGCCATCTGTTCTTCAAGAAGGCATGTATCAAGGCCCTCAAAGTCCAGCCCCTATCTGAGGGTAGGAAGGCCCTCACCCTACAGAGTTCAGAGAGGCTCCAATGAACTGAACATGATGGGAAGGGTCTAACTGATATTTCTCCCAATTAACCATTAATCTAATTGGGTACAAGTAGAGAGGACTATTCTTATACGTGTCCTCAAGAGTTCTTGGGATGGTGATACAGTAAGCTAATCATCTAGATAAGGGAAGATGGTACAGCCACAACCACCACTATGCACTTCATGAAAACTCCAAGTGGTGGCAAAGCCAAAGGGGAGAGCAGTGTATTGAAAATCCTCTGCCACCTGTCTGAAATGGAAGTACTTTCTGTGTGAGCGGTGAATACCAATATGAAAGTTTGTGTCCTTAAGATATGGGACAGCAAACCAGGGATCAGGAGTAAGAAACAACAGAAAAACCCTTCTATACTTTGAAACCTTCAGAAACTTAATTCTCTCAAGTCAAGTATCGGCCTAGGGTGCGCCATCTTCTTTGTCAATCAGAAAAAAATCTGGCATGGAAACCACACGATTGCAGGCCTGTGGAAACTTTTTCCACTGTCCCTTTTCAAAGGAGAGAAGAGGGTTGATTCCTCAAAGGGAAGGCCCTCAACCTGACAGTGTCTCCAACAGGAGGGCAGCCGTATGCTGCCAGGTGTGTCTTCCCAGGACCACTGCAGAGGCCATGGACCTGGCTGACACGTCAGCCACATGTCTGCCCACATCTATCCCCTGCTTGGAAAGTCTGAGCTCTTCTGATTGGATCAATTTGGCCAATGATATAGGTTCTTCAGGAAGGGCATCTAAGTACTATGACAGATTTTCCCAAAGGAAGAGCTGATAGCCACCCATAATCACTTGATAATTCACCACTTGGAAGTTGAAAGCCACAGACTAATAACATTTATGTCATAAGGAATCTAGGTGACAGCTTTCTCTGTCTCCAGGAAAGGAGTGTTGGCCAAGTCTATGATGCACCTGCATGTCCTCTGTCACTAGTGAGGAGGGAGGTGGATGAGTAGTTAGGAAATCTCAAAACTCTTGCTTGATCTTATATAAATGTTTGATCCTGTGGGAAGCGGCTGCAGTAGAGGCCAGCTTCTGCCAGACTGGAGCCATCAGGCTTGCAAGGACCTCTAAAATAGGAAAAGCCACTGTACCAGGAGAATCAGAGTACAGGCAATTCAAAATTTTATCCTTTAGCCTGTTATCTGACATGACGACGTCGATACCCAGAGCCTTGGCCATTCTCAACATCTGTTCATCATAGAAGTGAAGGTCCTCACTTGGGAAAACTGAGGTTGAATCCCCTATTCTGTCATCTGAAGATGGTTTGGACCCACTCTCAGAACTGTAATGAGATATCACAGCCACATCCTCGTCTGGCTCATGGTATGGAGACATCAACAGTAAAAAAGTGGAACTGGCTTCTGCCTGCCTAAGGTTGTCAAGGTCCTGCCTGGACCCCAACACAGGGAGGGGTTGAGGCCGCTGGAAATGGAGATTGGTCCAATGTTGCAAATACACTGGAGACATATAATAGGAGTGGCACTGTGGTGGACAAGCCTGCTGCCAAGAAACAGGCAGTGTTGTGTCAGGCTGCCCTAGCTGACCTCCCGGGATGCCAGGTAAGTCCCTCTCAGAAGCTGAGGAGGAACAATCAGGAGAGCCAAAATGTGGAGAGGGAGTGCACGTGGGCATCAAAATGACACCCTGCTTTTTGGAAGATCACCTTGGAGAGGGTGAAGGAAGCTTGCCGTGCTTGGAGCCAATCTTCTCGTGTCTTGATTTTTTGTGTTTCTTAGATGGTGGTTCCAAAACAGGTTGGAACTGAGGAGGTCACTGATAGGGACCAAGGACTACTTGACTCCGAGGCTGGTGTGATGGATGCAGCTCTTTTTGGTGGATTGGGAGCCTCTTTAGTAGTTGGGACTGCCAGGACCAATTGGACAGAAGATGGACCAGAACAAGACTCCGGTACCGGAACTGACACGGTTGACGGGCTTGAGGAGGGAGGTTCTGAGCTAGAAACCGACTTGGATAGGACTGAAGCCAACGAAGCCTTCTCCCATAACACGGCTTTTAGTCCGGATGACCTATCGGAATGCAGCTTGGGCATGGCACAATTGCCTACATTATGGGACTCCCCAAGACACATGCCTAAGACAGAGCTCGTGTTCATCACTATAAGTCATCTTGGTCTCACACTTTGTGCATTTCTTGAAGAGCACCTTGGTCGCCTTAATTTGGCACCACAAGTGGTAGACACTGGAAAGACTACAGGGTAGGCCAAGAGCCACCTCATTATGCAAAGATACCCACTGGGAACAACTGGTCCGAAGAGAAAAGACAAGAAAAATGCCTCACTCTGCCAAGAAAAGAAGAGGAAGGACGCAGCTCGCTAGAATGCTCCTATTCATGCAGAGGCAAAAAAAAAAAAAAGAACTGAGGGAAGGGGGCACCTGCCTCTGGAGCATTTTGATGACTTGGGCAGAAAAAACAGTTGCATTGGCACCAGGAGGGGAGGGGCGTCCCCGTGGTAGCTTTAAGCTGGAAAAGTTTATTCCACGGCCAGCCTGTGCAAGATGAAAGATGAATAACAACAACAACAACACAGAAAGGGCTATCGGAGGGAAGCCAAGTATTTAACCACTACCAATGCATTTTTTAAGTATGCAAGCTTTGTTTCACGCACCATATACTTTTTCATTTAAATGTAATGTAATTTTCTTAGGTAGTGACAGCTAGATATAGGTATGCAAGATAAGAAAGTAGGGAGATGAAAATTTGGAAAGAGGGTACGAACACCAGATAAATAAGTAATGCTAAAAACATCATATATAGTAAATTTTCAAGCATTCCTCACCTTTCTAATGGGTGAATCTTTGATGAACTTCATCACAGCTTCCCTTTCGGGGGGGATACTGAACTGACCATTAGGCTTATTTTGATCACTGGACATTTTTGCCAACATCGTATTTGGAGCAATGCCTAAGCAGAAAAAACAAAGCCCTCTTTGAGTTCCATATACAATGATTTCAAAAGTAAAGATCTGGAGTTATTGTCAAAGAAATGGATTCTTTGGTCCTCGAGAGACATTCTTACAAGTTTTTTTACACACATTCTCTGTACAAGTCAGCAATAAAATCGCAGAAAAGTGACCACTATGAATACACTGTTAAATGAGGTAATATAGTTGCAGATGAAAACTGCAACTATGCAGATCTGTACAAGGTATTCTGCAACTTTGGTTAAAAAAAGTACTTTTTGTGGAGAGATAATGAAAAGTAGCATTGTACAGAAAAGTCATGTTTAAATCTAAATAAATGATCTAGATAACCTTCAGCCAGGTACTTTCTTCCAGCACAATCCACGGGGCTGTTATGAAGATAAACAGAGGTTTGAGGGCCATGTATGCAACTCTGGGCTCTCCTCTGGGAGAGACAAACACTGCAATCCTAAACCTCCTGACACCCATGGTCTCAGAAGAATGCAACTCTGTTTAGGATTTCACTGTTAAACATACTTAGGAATTATGGTTCTAGAATACCATTACAATAACGTAAAACAACTGGATGTACTTTGTGAATCATGGTCAATAGTTTGTTTTTGAACACAAAAATTACATTTTTCTCTAAAAACCCTGAGAATCTGAAAGCTGCTCATTTAAGTTACCTGCAGGTACAGAGAGACAAGGTATTTTGTATTTCATCCAGTTCCAAGAAAGAAATTTTGGACTTCGGTAAAGAGAGGTGCCTGTTTCCCCCACCCACATTTTCCAGTCATCGTGATACCCAATCTCTTCTGATGTTTTCCCAGTACACTACTCCATTTGTAGCAAATAACTGGATAAAGAAGTGAAAGCCTATTTCAGGGATTTTAAGTCAATCAAGATTAAGCAATAGTAATTCCTTCACCATTTAACCAGGTATAATAAACTCTTAAAATAGCACGAATGCTCATGGGATTATTTATCTCCTTTCCTGCAAGATACATCTCTTTTACAATATGAATAACTATCTCTAAGATGGCTCCTAAGTACTTTACTTGTCACACAGCAGCTGCTGCTATAAATGCTCCCATTGTTCCAAATGTTGACTTGCAGATCTTATCTTTCACTAACAGAAAATCCTGTGATGGAATCTGGGATTTGCTCTTCCCTGATCTAGTTCACTCTTTCATATGTCCATTATTTTTCCATTTACTTGACTTTCAAGCAGTTTTCCTGTAATGAACTTTAATATGTGCTATTAAGCTCTTCCCAAAGAGGTTAATGTTGTATATACAAAAAGATATTTGTAAAAAAAGAAAGAAGATAAGAAGAAGAGATTGGATTTATACTCCACCCTTCACTCAGAGTCTCACAGTGGCTTAGAAACTCCTTTCCCTTCCCCTCCCCACAACAGACACCCTGTGAGGTAGGCAGGGCTAAGAGAGCTCTTTCTAGAACTGTCCTTGAGAGAACAGCTCTGACAGAACTATGGTTTGCCCAAGGTCATCCAGCAGTTGCATGCGGAGGAGTGGGGAATCAAACCCAGTTCTCCCAGATTAGCATCCGTGCACTTAACCACTATACCAGAAAAGGGAAAACATTCTTTTGTCCATAAAACCGTAAGTGCTAAGTTTTGCAGAAGGATTAAGATGCTGAAGTGCAGACTGGAAGACCAGTAGTTCGGCAGTTCAAGACCCTAGTGCCGTGTAACGGAGTGAGCTCCCATCTCTGGTCCCAGCTCCTGCCAACCTAGCAGTTCAAAAGCAAGAAACTGTAAGTAGATAAATAGGTACCGCTTCAGTGGGAAGGCAACAGCATTCTGTGCACCTTGGCGTCTAGTCATGCTGGCCACATGACCATGGAGATGTCTTCGGACAGCGCTGGCTCTTTGGCTTGGAGATGAGCACCACCCCCTAGAGTCGGATTTGACTGGCTTTTGAGCAAGGGAAACCTTTACCTTTAATGAAGTAACATAGATGGTGCCCACAAATCCAGGTTTAACATTGATGGTACCCATGTAGCTACTTTCTTCCCCCTCTCACAACTGTCCTGATTGCCACTTATTAAAACAGGTTGATTAAGTGCAACTTTGTTCTTTGGCCTCGGCCTCCACACCCTGTTGTTGGCCCTCTAGAGGAACTGGTTGGCCACTGTGTGAGACAGGATGCTGGACTAGATGGACCATTGGTCTGATCCAGGAGGGTTCTTCTTATGTTCTTATGAGTGGACTGGTCACCTTATGCAGAACTATGATTTGGAAACTTACAAAGCTAGGATTTTGACAAAAAGTCTTTTCCTCTCAAACATGCAGCACTGATATTGGAGAGAAGTCAGTTACAGGTAAATTATATTATGAATTGCACATGCACACAAAAGCTTATACCCAGAATTAACCTTTTATGGTCTTAAAGGTGCCACTGAACTCAAACCCACCTGAAGGTAAATTAACTGGGTTTTAAAGGAATTATTCTTTGTGTGCCTCACAATGTTGGGTATAGACTAACAAGCTGACCTACTTGGAGATGGGTACAAGTGCTTTCAGGAGAAAAGAGCTGATGCTGTTCTACCAAAAGATGCATCTGCTCTGCCTCTGATATCAAGGGCATAGTGCCTAATGAAGGTTGAAGCCTGGGCCAAAGTGGCTGTTCTGCAGAACACAGGAAGAGAAATCCTACTGATAAAAGCAAAGGATATAGAGCAAAGCTCTGGTGGCATAAGCTCTGATTGTTGTAAAAAGAAGCTTTTGGGACAGTTCATAACAAAGCTTGATGGCTGAAACACTGTGCAGACATTTTGTCACTCTTCTCTGGACATGAGTAGCACATGAAAAGGTTATGGTTTTGTCTGAAGAAGCCAGTTCAGTCTAACAGTGCTCTCATAGTATCCAAAGAATGTTAAAGCCCTTTCCACTTCTGAGGTTGGAGCTGGCAAGAACACAGTCAGAGAGGACCCCTTTGAATGCTTGTGCTTTTTTTTCTTCGCTTGCATTTAAATATGAGTCTTCTTGCCAGCTTTTAGCAATGTACAGGCAGTACCAATAGAATGGGAGAATGACAGAAGGAGTATCCCTTTGAACCAAAGTCTGTACTGAGGGAGAAGATATGAGGGCCATCATAGGGGCATATGTTATCTCCAGAGAGGTGATCAGAGCCCTCTGCCAGTGACAAGTCTGGAGTCAGAAACAGCTATTTTTTTTCTCACTTGTGTCATAAGTGAGTCTACAAATGCAAGAATCTACTTTATTTTGCTGGCTTAAGTACAAAAGGCAGCAATTGCTGCCATCAGTAGGGAGCTTCCCATTATGCTGATAACAGTATTCAAATGTTTTTTCAAAGTCATGCCAAAGCACCAGTGTGAGAAAAACGTGGACTATATATAGAACTATGTACAAAGCTACCTATATGTAACTATAAACACTGACTCTAAGACTAAATAAACTATGAATAAAACCTTCAACCTGCCCTCCCTCCTCAGGCATGTGCAGACGTAGCTGTGCTTCTGAAGGCAGGGCCTTTCGTATCTAAAAGTTAGCTCTAGATGTTTCCAAATTGCAGTTCTGCACAGGTGCAGAGTCCATCAGTGTGATGTACAGAGAGCATACAAGTAGTAACCAATAGATTCCCAACATTTTACTAAAGGTGCCACATAACAGACATATGTATTTATTCAGGATATATCTTGGGTAACCCTGCATCACCCCAATTCATTGTTATCAACTGCAACAAACTGTGGATAGAAATCAAGCCACAGACGTAACAACTTTGATATCAAGGGCATGTTGGGAGCGGTGGCGCAGGCGGTTAAACGCCTGCACTGTAACATCACCGGAGCAGCCACTATGGCTGTTCGAGTACCACCGCGGTCGAGGTGAGCTCTCGACCTTCGTCCTAGCTCCCGCCTACCCAGCGGTTTCGAAAGCAACCTAATTGCAAGTAGATAAATGGGTACCCACCCTTAGAGGGGTGGGGGGCACCCTGTGTGGCTGGCTGAAGACGGCGGCGGCGATGGCGGCGACAATGACGGCGGTGGCAACCTGGCATGGACGGCATTGGTGGCGTGGCGGCGGCGAGCGAGCGCGATCGGAGGCGCGCGATTGAGCGATCCCTGGCGGCAGAAAGAAACACATTGAACGCTGTCGTGAAGAAGAAAGGAGCGTGCGCAGATGCCGAGCACCAGCTCAGCGGAGCCGGAAGTGACATTGCCGGGCCGTAAGCAGGCGGAGCTGCGCGCCTTAGGAGGAAGATCGCCACCACTACCGAACGCCGGGAGAAAAACACCCCCGCCAAGTCCAGAGACCCGACCGAGCCGAGCCGACGAAGAAACAACCAACAACCACCACAGGGGGGAGCCGGTAGGCTGTCCCATCCCCTTACACTCTGTGGCCCTAGTTAGGGAAAAATGGTGATTAGCACCAGAAACCTGTAAGCCGCTCAGAGAACCCTAACCAAGGGATTAGAGCAGGATATCAAGCCGAACGTTAAATAAAAATAAATAAAATAAATAAACTTTTGTTAATGAATAGTGACAATGGCTTATTATTTCTCATGGACACTAGAGAGGCGAGGTCTGCCAACAGGAAATAAGGGGGCCTTTATTATTACTATTTTTTGCCATCAAGTCACAGCTGACATGGCGTCCCCATAAGGTTTTCAAGGCAAGAGGCGTTCGGAGGTGGTTTGCCATTGCCTGCCTCCACCTCAGAACCCTTGGAGATCTCCCATCCAAATACTAGCCAGGGCTGACCCTGCTTAGTTCCAAGATCTGACAAGATTGGGCTAGTCTGGGCTATCCAGGTCAGGGCCCATTTATTTCTATAGAAGAAGAAGAAGAGATTGGATGTATACCCCGCCCTTCACTTGGAGTCTCAGAGCGGCTTACAACTCCTTTCCCTTCCCCTCCCCACAACAGACACCCTGTGAGGTGGGTGGGGCTGAGAGAACTCTGACATAAACTGCTCTTTTTCAAGGACAGCTGTGCCAGAGCTTGTGACTGACCCAAGGTCACATCAGCAGGTGCAAGTGGAGGAGTGGGGAATCAAACCCGGTTCTCCCAGATTAGAGTCCGCACACTTAACCACTACACCAAACTGGCAGCCAAAACTCACAGGATTATTTCAGGAGCTGGCTTGCCAGCCTGCCTTCCATTTTCTGGGTGTCAGGGTGAGTTCTGCTGCCTCCAATACCAGCAGTAGGGATATTAACCGGAAGGGAGGACTGCAATGCAGCAGTGGAGCTGCCAGTGGGACTGATGTTGGCCAAGTAAGTCTGGCTAGATTCAAGTCTAGTAAGTGCTCCCCACCCCGAGATCCTTTCTGCTTAAAAGAGCAACCTTTACAAAAATGAGGGGAATAGTAAAAAGGAGGCTGAAGGAGAAACACAAGACAGTAAAATCCCTAGAGGATGCTTGGAAGCTATTTAAAACCAACAGCCCAAATAGAATGCATTCCACATGTTAGGAAAGGCACTGCCAGGTCTAAAAGAAGGCCTGCATGCTTAACAACGCAAGACAAGGAAGCTATAAAAGGTAAAGAGGAAGTACTGCCCCAATGAATTGAACAGGAGGGACTGCAGGATCTGGTAAAAGATATGTAAGTCAATAATTAGGCATAAAAAAGAGATTTTGAGGAGTGGGATGCTAAAGGAATCAAGATAAACAATAAATATTTTTAAAAATATATCCAGAGCAGAAAACCAGCCAGAGAGGCAATGGGACCTTTGGATGACAAAGAAATATAGGGATTGCTAAAGGAAATCAGGGAGTTGGCAGAGAAACTCAATGACTTTTTTGCTTCTGTGTTCACTGTGGAAAGTACGGGCCATGTACCCATGCCACAACCACTATTTTCAGGAAGGGAGTCTGAAGAACTGAGCCAAATTGAGGTGACTGGAGATGTTCTGGACCTACTGGGGAAATCAAAAACCATTAGGTCTCCATGTCCTGATGGCATACACTGAGTTCTTAAGGAACTCGAATGGGAGATAGTTGATGTATTAACCCATATATGTAACTTGTCACTAAATTAAGCTGCTGTACCAGAAGACTGGAGAGCAGCAAATGTGACAACAATTTTTAAAAAGGGATCCACTGAGGAACCAGGAAAATTACAGGCCAGTCAGCCTAATGTCTGTCCCAGGCAAATTAGCAGAAACTGTAATCATAGATAGAAGTGTTAGGCACATAGAGGAACAAAGCCTGCTGAGGCAAAGTCAGCATGGCTTCTGCAAAGGGAAGTCCTGCTTCACCAACCTTTAAGAGTTCTTTGAGAAAGTGAACAAGCATGTAGACAACTTTGACCTGGTAGACGTTATATACCTGGACTTTCAAAGGCTTTTGACAAGGTACCTCACCAAAGTTACCTGAGTAAATTTAGCAGTCATAGGGTAAGAGCAGAGATTCTCTTATGGATTAAAAAGTGCTTAAATGACAGGAAGCGGAGAGTAGGAATCAGATTAGCATCTGTAGTGAGATAAGAATCCTATTTCCCTATTTAGCCCTAGGGGGTCCATTGTTCTAAACTTGTGAACGAACTCAAGTTCAGCATGAATGAACTCAAGTTCAGCAATCGCACATTGTAATTTCCCTTTGAAGTTTCTTTGTTTGAGAACTGCCGCTCTTAGGTCAGCAATGAAATTGACCTGGAAGATTAAATGTTCTTCCACTGGTTTTTGAGTGTTGCAGCCACTACAGATGGTTTCGGCAAAGGGAAGTCCTGCCTCAACAAAAGGCTTTTGACAAGGTACCTCACTAAAGACTCCCGAGTAAACTTAGCAGTGATGGGATAAGAGGATGGGTTCTGTTATGGAATAAAAATTTGTTAAATGACAGGAAGCAAAGAGTAGGAATAAATGGACAGTTCTCACAATGGAGGGAAGTAAGCAGTGGGTCCCACAAGGATTAGTATTGGGGCTGGTACTATTTAATTTATTCATCAATTATCTGGAACTAGGGGTGATTAGTATAGTGGCCAAGTTTGCAGATGACACAAAATTATTCAGGATGGTGAAAGCCAAGGCCAACTGTGAAGAGCTCCTCCATAAACTGGGTGAGTGGGTGACAATGTGGCAACTGAAGTTCAGTGTTGGTAAGTGTAAGGTGATGCACCTTGGGATAAAAAACCCCAGCTTCAAGTATAGGTTAATGGGGTCTGAACTTGCTGATTCTGAGAGGGAAAAAGATCTAGGGGTTGTAGTGGATATCAACCCAGTGTGCTGTAGCAGTGAAAAACATTGAGGCTTTGAAATATCATTAACACGATGGCTTGACGTTAGTATTTTGATATGCTCTGCAGACTTTCACAAGAATTGTTTTTTCTGAAGATTGTTAGTATATGTAGATGTTTTAGATATTGTAACAAATATGTGATAATAATGATTACTATTTTATTCTTATAGACTTGTTAACTGTATACAACTTCACTCTACAAATGTTAAAAATGATTCTTGCAGGTAATTTTATTTTGTTATAAAATAAATATAAAATTTATACAATCTATAAAATTATAAAATCATAAAATTGATTAAACTTACATGTATTTTATTGATATTTTGAGGTTATACATCGGTTCTATTCATAAGAAGACTCATGAAATGAATACTTTCTCCGGAAATTTCGTCAGTCTATTGTTTTGGACCTTTGTTTCTGTTATATAGTACATTTGTACCTTACATTGATTCATACTGCATTGTTATTGTCATATATTACACTATTTGGACACAATTCATGAGTAATTGTTTACTTTAGCGTCTATACACAACTTTGCGTTTTCCCTTTTTTACTGTAGCAGTGAAAAGGGCAAACTCTATGTTAGGGATTATTAGGAAAGAGATTGAAAATACAATGGACAATATTATAATGCCCCTCTATAGATCTATGGTGCGGCTTCATTTGGAATATTGGCCACTGTATCTCAAAAAAGACATCGCAGAGCTGGAAAAAGCACAGAGGAGGGCAACCAAGATGATTTCAAGCAGGGAGCACATTTCCTTTAAGGAAAAGCTGAAGAGCCTGGGACTTTTCAGTTCAGAAAAGAGAAGACAAAGGGGAGACATGATAGAGGTTTATAAAATTATAAACGGAGTTCAGAGAGTTGACAAAGATAATTTTTTGTCACTCTCCCAAAAAACTAGACCTTGAGGACATCCATTGAAACTGATGGGCAGTAGATTCAGGATGGACAAAAGGAAATACTTCTTTACACAGAGAGTGATTAAAATGTGGAATTCACTGCCAGAGGATGTAGTGATGGCCACAGAAATAAGCAGCTTTCAAAGGGGATTAATTGAATTCATACTAGCCATGGTGACTGAGGAGAACCTCCACATTCAGATGCACTAAACCTCTGAATCCCAGAGCCAGGAGGCAATATCAAGGGAAGGTCTCAGCCTCTATGCCCTGTTGTTGGCCCTCTAGAAGAGCTGGTTGGCCACTGTGTGAGACAGGATGCTGGACTAGATAGACCATTGGTCTGATCCAGCAGGGCTCTTTTTATGTTCTTACACATCAAGTGGGGGCTAGCTGGCATGATCCTGATTCTCCAACTATTGCAGGATCTGAACATCTGCATAGGGTCTTAAAAGTCATGGTTTAAACCAATAGCAAATTGTAAATGTTGTTCTACCTATTAGTTTAGATGAATGTGGAATAACCCACTTTATTGAAAAATGAACTGCTAAATCCAGAAAGCAGTGCTTTTCACTCTTTATGACCCATGTCTGTTAAATAGATGAAAATGGGGAAAAAATCCAGCTTTAACACTGAAACGTAGAGCCATGTGATGAACAGGGTCCATTTAATGGTGTTATTGAAAGTAGACCTGGCTTAACCAGAAGGCATCGGTAATGTGCCTGAAGATGCACTAAACTACATTTTTGTAGTTAAAATCCATAACCGAGATAAGCAATTTTAGCAAACTACAGTCTATGTTTGGTAATTTTCATTCCTTTACATCAAAAGAATGCAATGAACTTGCTTCTAAACTCTGAGGTGTATGTGTATATTCTGAAATACAAAAATATTACTATTAATATAAATGTACTTACCAGCACTGGCCGTCAGCCCTGTTCTTTCTTCAATCCTAAAGCGAATTTCCTTCACAACTTCTTCTGCTGATATCCCAAAAACAACGGAATTTATTTGACTTGTTGATTGCTGGTGGTCATCTGGGTGCAGCACAGAAAGATCCACAGTCTGCTTATGCACTGGATCATCATCAAACAAGACTGGTGAAGAAGTGTGTGCATCCCTGCTCCACTGTGACTTGTCACATGTAACTGGATTGCCTGGTCATAGCAAAGGGAAACCAGCTATCAGAACTTGTAAAACAAATCTATCTAATTGCTGAATTCTCTTACACATTTAGTAACAAGACGTATTCTTCACTCTGTTTGCCAAGCACCTGAATTATTTTATATACATATATAAAACTGCAGAATCAGTTTCCAGTTATTGCTGCTGCATTAAACACACACACACTGCCTGATGGAGAAAGCAGTGAGGTCTGTTAGTGTCATAAGGAGTGTGGTTCTCAATGCATACTTCATCTAGATGGAGCCGTTGCTCAATAATGGAAAAGATAGGGTATAAAAATTTTAATATAAATAATTAGATGCATGCTTACAATAAAAGGGCATGAATCAAAGGGCCTACATAACTATATAGAAAGATTAATATTTCGTTAGGCTAAAAGTGGTAGAACTTGCGTCTCCAGTAGTCAGCCAGAGCTTCAGATGAGCCTTGAACGATAGTCTTGCCATATCTACTCACCAAAAAGCCCAAGACTGCTCATTAACTAACTGGAATAGTAGACAATATGCAAGATAAATACATAGGACTGAGCTCCTGTTCAGTTACTTAGTGGAAATAACAGATTGCAAAAGCCTTTGGGCAACTTAATGAATTGTGCACTGGATAGGAGTGACACCCTGGTAGTCAGTTGCTTGGCAGAGAGCAAGAATGCAATGAGGTAATCGGCTGTCATCATCAGCACCTTTCAGAGTCAGTCGTCCAGCAAACAAGAACAGGCATGAAACTCCCTCCACTGAAAAATTAAATATGGGCATTTTTACACAGAGGAAACTGCCAAACATTAGAATTCTGAGCTGTGGCATCTGTCTGCTGATTCCATTAACAGATGCAGTGAACAACTGATATTCTTTTTTGCAAATGATACATTTAAAACTAATCAAAGTCGAACCTGTGAGCAAACAACTATTCTGTTAAAAATGGCTGAAACACCACCCTTTTTGAAAAGATTAATTCCATTATGGTTAATCGGAATTGAAATACTAAGAAAGAAACTACGTTGGAATTTCCAAAAGGGTTTCAACTAAGTTGCTCTGAAGCAACATTACAAGCAAACAACTAATAATTAAAAATATATTTTAAAATACTGCTGTCTTTGTATAATTTCCTGGCTTACAGGATGACACAATGAAAGCAAGGTAAAATGTTCTTTTGATCTGGCACTTCCAAACAGTTGCTTACCATTTACAGCAAAGCTGTGTGGTTTGATGAAATATTTTCTTTTGTCTTCAGGCCAATTCTTTCTTCCTTCTAAGTACTCTGTTATGTTCAAGTATGCTTCATCAAGACCCATGGGCATAAAGTGAGGATCATATTCAGCTAGTATTTCCCTAACCTTGATAAATATAAATACAAAACAAAAGATGTGCTGCAGTGGCAGAAAATCTCCCAGCTTCTGAAGTATTATGTGGCCAGTCAACATTGTATCATTCAGTATTTTAAATTCCATTATGACTGATCAATAGTGCAATAATTTTTAAGGTTTAAATTATTCATTGCCATTCCAAATTTGTATTGCTTCTGGTTCACATTTAAACCAGGAAAATATACTAGAAATGAAGCCTCCTCTCTGTGAGTCTCAGATGTGATATTTGCATACTCTATTGAAGTCTCATTATGGAATAAAGCTAAATATAATAGTATTGCAATCTTCCAGTAACACTATTTTAAAAATGCAGCATTGCTGAGCATGTCAGCTAGCAGTGGCCACCTTGCCTGCTCTGGCCAAGTCACAATGCTGCAAACAGGTTGAGTTGCCTGTCTGGCCTGGTGAGGTCAGTGCCACCAAACAAGTCACCCGCCTGGGCAGGAGAGGTGGACACTACTGCCCAGAATGCACACTTCTTCCCTACACAGATACAGTTCTGAGAAGCTGGCAATCATGTGGAAGGCCAGCACACTTGTCCCTGCTCTCCCGCTACCAGTATGTAGAGGAGCCATATGCTCAAGACCAGATGCATCACGTTGTCAGGCCACAAATAAGTGAAATCACATGTTGTGAATGGTGAAGGTCTACTGTAACACAGCGCAGTATGCGTTCAGGGTCTTCTGAATTCTTCATTAAAACAAAGAAAACATACAGGTCCCTTTAAAAGCCCTTTTGTTCTCTATGCTGTGATAGTTTGGTCTAAGTATTTATTTGAATTCTTCTGTATTTTGTACTGTACTAATTTTTCTCTTTGAGGATATTGTTTACTAATGTGCACGTGACAAAGTCCTAAAAGGCAGAAAAATCGTAGAGCCACTTCTCTATGCATTGTGCCTCCCCCAGAATAGGGAAAAGGGGGGGAGAATTCCATTCATTCTGATTATTAGGAGGTGGTAATGGAGTAAGCAATAGCTGCCTCGTCTTGAAAGTTAATTTCAGTTAGGAAGGACCAAGTGAATTATATGAACCATTCTTTTAGCTCAGCCCTCTCCACTATATCTGTGATTGCAGGTAACTATATGCTTTATTCAAAATCAGGTAACTATATGCTTTATTCAAAATCAAAGTATTTTGCGGAAATATGAAACATGACAAGAATTAGTCTGCAATGCAGGAAATACATGACAAATTAAAATCATCTGATAAAATAAATGCTTCCTATGGAATACCTCACTTACCTCTTTACTTACTTCTTGATATTTCTTAAAATTTAATGGCACTATTGTAAGATGTGGACAGAGTTTCTTAGCAATAAATCCAGGCATGGCTGCACGGACCCCAAACCTCCTAGCATGATAATTTGAAGTGGACTTAAAGAGACAGAAAAACAATTTAAAATCAAACTTAGCACTTCTTGGAGTTTTAACAATAAAATATTTCTAAAGATGTGCATTTATGTCCATAATCCAGTGCACACTTAGGCTTGCTCCTTAACCTCGATCAAAATAGGGACACACACTGACATGGGTGGGGCTAAGGGACCTAGTGGCATGTTCTGGGGAATAATGCTGGGGCAACAGGCTCCAGACTCAACGTGCCACAAGCAGAAAGCAGGAACTACAGCTGTATAAAAGCAGATTGCTCCAGAGAACAAAAGCAGTGAGGCAAGTTAAATACGTATTTTGTGTGTGTGTGTATGTATATATGTGTACATATGTGTGTGTACACACACATGCACGCACTATATTAGATGTAGGCCATTTAGAATGCATTAGTCACCTTTAAAGTGGACTAATTTATTAATAGTAATTAAAGTTACTATTCCAAGGTCAGCTACTACTCTCATAAATCAGAATAAAGAAGCAAGATCTGCAGAACAAGAGCATATCTCCCACACATGAATTGTTCTGGACCTCTGTAACCACAGCCTCCTGCCTCCATGAGTAACAGAAACAGAACAATATAGTTTGTTTCCTTCTGCACAACAACCCACATCTTGTTTTCTCTCCATCTTTCACAGCAGTTCACAAGGGCAGATTGATTTTCCCCTCCACCCCCAAAAAATATCTATGCCTTTTTTGTTACAGGCAACATCTCCTTGCCCATTGTGCTTCCTCCTTAGTTTGTGCCAAAAATTCACCAGAGTTTAGCTCAGGAGTTCATTTTCAGCACTGGAACTGAGCACTGGAATATGGAAAGAAAATACTGAGATTGTGTAGAATGCCCAGAGTTACAAAGAGGAGGATTAAGGGTTCAGAATTCCAGGGACCCCTGGTAGGGCCCAGGTAGTTGGACAAGGTGTGACTGGGGGATAGTAGCAGCATAGCTGTTCTGATCAAGCTTTTTGTGTGTGTTCTTCTAAATGTGAGGGGGCCCCAGAGGGAATATTTGTCTGGGAACCCACGGTAACTCTTGGCAGCCCACACTGCACCTTTCTCTCAGCAGTGAATAACTGCCATCTCTTGCCTCTGAATACAGACTTAAGCAAGGTTTTCAAGAATAAGAACTGAGCCCACAAGTGTTTTGCTACATTAATTTTGTTTTAAAGCAGCTGGTTTCCTCTCTTCAATACTTCTTTGTCCTTTCAGAGTGAATATAACTTTTCAAAAGCCAACTTTAGCATATTGGAAGAAGGCATTTTAATTTTAATGTTAATTTTGATACTTTATGAATAAATTGAGCATATCAATGTGCATGCACATGTAAGAATCAGCAGATTCATTTAAAACAATGTCTTTATGCCAGTTTCTTTGCATGCCTCTGTATGAATTTACATAATTCAATGATCAGCAACTGTAGCATTCGGCCATCACCATAACATACAACATCAAAATACTTTGGGGGACAGCTTCTATGTGATACCTCATGTCAACTTAAACTTTGGGTTGTCACAAGCACACATAAAGCAAAAGAAAATTAAAATCAAGTAAAGCCATTGCTTTATTATCAAGATGTTTAGCGGATGAGCGATCCCAGATGAAATGGGACAGTTGGAAGGTATGATGCTCAGGTAGGATGCCAAGCACAGAACTGAGCATGGCGACTGCCCCATATCATATATAGTAGACTGCTGACCTACAGATATAGCCTGTACAAATGCAAAAAGACAATGGTAATTGTGGCTGATCTGGAAAGTGCCCACTGCCCAGTCAGGTACCTCCAGATCTGTGATATGTCAATCCTACACCATCCAGGAATTTATTACATAGAGTCAGCATTTCAGGAAGTCAAGCAGTCTAGTTTGCCCACAGACCATGATTATATAGTATTCTGTTCAGAATGTGACAATTAAAATCTGTTTGCCACCTGACTGTTTTTCCTCTGAAAGATGTTATAAAATGATCTACAGAAATAAATCACTTAGAAACAACAGGGGAAAATTATATACTCTCCTAAAGAAAGGATGGTTTGTGCACCTGGTTTTTGAAGAAACATCACTTTCCACCTTACCAACATACTCAATGATCCCACTGCTATAGGTTTGTCCCTTAGTTCAGGATTGTCTCTCATTTCTACTGCTGCATAAAAGGCATCCATGTCAATGTGTACGGTAGTGCAGCTGAGATCACGGCTCTGCTCCAGTTCTATGGCAAGTTTATCCATCTGTGCATACATAAATGTACAAAATTGTATAAATGCCACTATGTTACCACTATGGCAGACTATGGCAGATAGCAATATAACTTCATAAAGGAAGGTAATATCACATACAGAGATTAACAGAAAATGAGGATCGTGCCATGTATGAAAACGGTATCTAATTTAGACATGGTAACTAATTTAGACATGATAGCAAATACAGCTTTGGTATTTTAGAGACTATGTTAGGTTTTCTTCAGACAAACAAGCTACATGGTCTTCCCCATGCTATTTCATGTTATATCATTTGTGTGAAGTTGCCTTTACTCAGAACATATGAATATAAGATGAGCCATGCTAGATCAGATGAAAGACTCATCAAATCCAGTGTTTTGTCCATATAGCCCGCATTGCGGGGAGGGCGGGGTATAAATTGAAATAAATAAATAAATAAAGAAAGAAAGAAAGAAATAGTGGTCAACTAGCTGCCTCTAGGAAGCCCAGAAGCAGGATGACTGCTACAGCATCCCCCTGCATGTACTCCCCAGCAACTGATCCAAAGAGGCATACTGCCTCGGGTACTGGAGGGAGTAGATATCCATCATGAATAGTAGCCATTGATAGCCCTGTCCTCCATGAAATTGTCCACTCCTGTTTTAAAGCCTTCCAAGTTGGTTGGCTATCACCACGACCATTATTGCGGCACAAGAAAGAAGGATGTATATATGCAGAGGTTGAGGACAGACTCCCTTTGTTAATTTGGTTAACAATAATTGCCGCAATCCTGTGTGTGTGTGTGTAGAACAAAGTTCAGAAAAATTCCCACAAAGATTTAGTATAAGCCTCATCTGTGCAACCTCTGCAAAGCTACTAGATGTGTGCCAGATGTGCTCTGATATACAAGACAATTAATGACAAACAGATGCACTCTCGTGCTTTACCCAGAGGCACCTTGCTTTTCCCCAACCCATTTAAACTTTGTGCTGGCAACTATGAGAAAAGACATTTTAATTTTAATAACTGATTCTTACAGTGTACTTCCAGTCATTGACCTGGTAATGTTTAGAGTCAAGACATGTACCAATTCCTTTCTGCCCCCATCAGAACAAAGAAAACAACAGATTCAAATAGTTTCTGAGGATGTTGAAGGTTAGCAGACCTAGAAAAACCAGTTGAGGAACTCCTGAAGGTATGCTCATGGCATTTGGACAAGAGATTGATATAGCTGAGGGCAGCAATTACACAGAAACTTACTTTTGTTTACTTAACAGCAAATCCTTTGTCAAACCTTAACTTTACTGCATGTTTAAACATGAGGGTGATACCATTTTTTTAAAATAACTAATGAAATTTTGAAGAACACAGGGCTTTTATACTAAGGCTACAATTTTATAGTTGTTGCAAAACCCTTAATTAAAAAGGCACAGGCTTTCAAACACACTGGTATTTTTTCTGATTAAATCAAATTAATGAAGGCTGTACATAACTGAGGTGGGCAGCACTGGTGGAACTCTCCTTCCCCTTTCTCCCTGTATTGTCCACCTCGCCCAAAATGAGCTGGATATTACCTGCAGTTGTGCTTTCATAATCTGTTGGTCTGTAATTTTACTTTTTAGCTTCAGGATTTTTTCAATTCGTTTATTAACTTGTTGATCCTTCTTGAGTTCATGTTCATAAAATTTAGAACCCTGTCAAAGAGATTCAAATTGTTTAACATTTGTTATTGGCCACATTATTCCTAATTAGATTTTTTAAAAGATATATAGCATTAGAAAAGAAATTAGGGTATAATCTGACATTTATTTGCATGATAATATATTGGTGTTGGCGGGGCACCTTAAATTGGAGCCAGACTAACAGTTCTGCAGGCACAATGATTTCTGCCCACATAGCCTGATTCCTGACCCCAGCAGTCCAAAATGCCTCTCTGACAGGATTTTGGGAGGCATTTTGGGCTGCAATGGGAGGAGGGAAGGCAGGAAACTCATGTTCTGTGTGCACAAATTCTTGCACCCATGGAAACATCTAGTCCGGATCTAAGTGCTTGAGTCTCTGAAACAAAAACAAGTTTAAAATATTATAAATAAATCCTAACTCAAGTATTGCACCAGTGCAACATTAATGAATATGACATAATATGCTCTGTAACATTACTGTTCTGCTACAGACAGATATGCATAATTATTTTGGATGTGAACATTCTGGAATGTCTTATTGTTTCCAATGAATTTAAAACATAAATAAGCATGTTTGGGATTAGGGCACAAATTAGCTTTAATTTCTAATGACGAGTGCAGATCTCCAGGCTAACTTTAACTCACCATTTACCTCTACATATGTATTAATTTGCAGACATACACTATGCCTAAATGGAGCTGCCCTACCCTTGCAGGGAAATCATTCAGGAAAAAAACACAAGCCCACAAAACTGAAACCAGCCACAGGCCGCTCGTACTCAGTATGTTCATGCTGCTGGAGAACATACCCAGAAATAGAGGGCACTGGGCAGATGTTAGTCCTCAGTAGGCTTGGGCTAGGACTGTGGGTGAGTGAAGGGTGAGTGAGTGAAAAAACTGGCCTCTGAGAACAAGAGCATATATGTTCCAAGTCCAATTGCTGCTCCCAAAGATCCTTTAAAAAACAAGGCTACTGCCTTTTCATTTAAAATCATTGGGGAAGAGGGAGGAAATTGGCCTCTGAAAATGTCCTGCCAGCCTCTTCCCCATAAACATTATTGCTCCCTGTGGAAAATGACAGAACTCACTTCTTTAATGACACTTTGTATACACATATACAAATTTGCTCAGTCCTTAAGGAACCACATAATTTTCCTTCAGGCTAGAATGCTCCCCAGTTCTAAGCATCAGAAGCCTGTGCTAAAATTGTCTCTTGAAACTGTAAAATTCTGTGGGGAGCTCTAACTAGGTATGACTTTAACTTGTAGCCTTGTAATAATGACTAGCACACCTTGTCTTCTGAACTGAACAATGCAGCCACACAGTTTTGTTGTTATTTTTTTAAAAAAGAACACCCTATACTCTTTAGTGAGTGCAATCAATACCTGTGAATAGCTAAAGCATTAGAGAAAGCTAATACAAACAAACCTTGGAAGCTTCCATTATGACTTTGTTGATCTTCTCTTTATCCAATCCTTGCATTCCAGCTTTGTTATCATTGAGGCCCATTCTAAGCAAAAGCCCCTCTTGAGAAGGGGTACTACTTTTATTTGGACTTCCCATTGCTCAACCATGTGAATCGTTTTTAAAATCTTACCCTGAAAGAGAAAAACTTCATGGTTTTAATCAGTGTACGTTCAACAATATTATGCAATACTTTAACTTAAACACTGTTTATGTATTATTCATTATTTATTTGAATGCAGTTTAAATATAATCAGCCATTCTGAAAGAAAATCTGAAGTGGCATTAATTTTTTAAGATTTAAGCAGTCGGCAAAATTTTCTTACAAAAAGAAAATCACCTTTATCCACAGTATTTTGTTCCCTACAGAATGTGGAATTATATTCAGGGTTATTTTAGCATCAGAGAGACACTGCCTATTCATGTGAAAGCTTGAAAAAGTTTACCAGAAGAAAAAGGAAATGCTGTTTATAAATGTGAAAACAAGGTGTTATATTTTCAAGTGAAAGTCTTGTTCATACAGCTGCTTTTCTAATGACAAAGAAGTGAATTTTGCATTCCCACGTTTCAGAGACAAATGAAAAAGATACCAAAATGGCTAATTTCCAATAATAACATAATTGAGAATTATGCTTATGTTACAAATAGCATGCATCCCTGTAACAAACAAGTCTCAAGCACTCTGCATACCTTTGCACTTCACTGTATTGTAAAGGTAAAAGGATATGGTTATCTATAATAATCCTTCTTAGTCTTTCCACAAGACAAAGCAGAGTATGCACCCATCTTCATGGAACTGATAAAATTTCTCTTTTATGATAAAAGTAATCATAAGGAAATGTCCTTTCATTTTTGGAAGTGTCTGACACTTTTTTGTCACTTCATATGCTACAGAAGCGTACAAATTAGCTGATTCTGAAATCAGACAGCTTAGAAGAATAAGCCAGCAGTTCTGGAGATTTCCCCCACAAGCGTTTTTGATCTGCTAAATTCCTATGGCAGCAACAATCAATAAGACCTGAAATTGCTACATTAGCAAAAGTTGGGAGGTTCACATCATTACATTATTTACTAAGAGCTTTTATACTGGACAATCATTTATCAAATTCTTCATTTTGCCGAATTCAAAACATCTGCTATAGTCTTCGTGTAGATATATATAATTACTTCATCAGACTTGACAGCACTGTATTCTAGACTTCTGGTTTTTCTAGTCTCAATAGGCTTTCCATTGACCTTCAGATGGTTCAAACTGGATTTTAACCTAAAAGGGAAATTCCCACTCATTTCAGCAAAAGGTATTTACCAAAGTTGGTTTAATAAGCCCGTTTCTTTCCAAGTTTCTACTCTCAGACACTACAAGAGTCCAAGAGAGGCACGTGTCTGCCTGCAAATCACATAATCCTTCCAGACTACCAACAGAATCCTTCTAGACTACCAGGATCATGCTTTCCAGTCACTGCAGTTTTCCAATTTAGAAGAGCCCTGGTAAAACACAGGATTCTTGTCAGTTTCAATCTCCCACTGGTCTGCAAGAATAGTAATACTGACAAGGAGAATGGTGTGATTAGCTTGCATGTGCTCAGGAAATCAGCAGGCTTAGTTTGACTTAAGAACATAAGAAGAGCCCTGTTGGAACAGACCAATAGTCCATCTAGTCCAGCATCCTGCTTTACACAATGGCCACCCAGTTTCTTTGGACAGCCAGTAACAGGGTACAAAGGCAGAGGCCTTCCCCTGATGTTGCCTCCTGGATCTGGGATTCAGAGGATTAGTGCCTCTGAATGAGGACGTTCCCCTCAGTCACCATGGCTAGTAGCCATTGATAGACTTATCCTCCATTGATCTATCTAATCCCCTTTTAAAGCTGTTTATTCCTGTGGCCATCCCTACAACCTTTGGCAGCGAATTCAACATCTTAATCGCTCTCTGTGTAAAGTGGTATCTCCTTTTGTCCATCCTGAACATACTGCCCATCAGTTTCACTGGATGCCCTCAAGGTCTAGTATTTTGGGAGAGAGAGAAAAATGTATCTTTGTCAACTCTCTCTAACCCATGTATAATTTTATAAACCTCTATCATGGCCTCCCTTAGTTGTCTCTTTTCTAAACTGAAAAGTCCCAGACTCTTCAGTCTTTCCTTATAAGGAATATGCTCCAACCTACTAATCATCTTGGTTGCCCTACTCTGCACTTTTTTCAGTTCTGCAATATCCTTTTTGAGATACACTGACCAGAACTGTACACAGTATTCCGAATGAGGCCACACCATAGATATATCTAGTGTGATTTTAAATCGCTTCTAAGCATCCTCTAGGGATTTGACTCTCTTGTGTTTCCCCTTCAGCTTCCCTTTTACCACTCCATTTTTGTAAAGTTCCCTCAAATCAAATGTGAGACTTTTGGATTTTAGGGATAACTTTCCATTGACCTGAATGCTGAACTTAACAGCATCGTGGTCACTGTTCACAACTGGTGTAACAACCTCTACATCTCTCACTAAGTCTTGAGACCTGCTCAAAACTAAGTCCAAGATTACTACCCCTCTAGTAGGCTCTGTGACCACCTGTTTCAGTGCAGTCATTTATTATGTCTAGGAATCTCATTTCTACAGCATGACTCCAAGCACATGTTTACCCACTCAATGTGAGGGTAGTTGAAGTCTCCCAGTATAATAACATTATCTGCTTCAGTCACCTCCCTGATTTCCTTCTCCATCTCAAGATCAGCCTCAAGGGTTTGATCAGGTAGGTGATAGTACACACCCACTTTTAAGTAACCCTTAGGGCCCAGTATTTCCACCCATATTGCTCCCATTGGGGAGTTAATTCCCCTGATGCTTCTAACTTATTTGATTCTATGCCTTCTTTGATGTACAATGCAACACCACCACCAACCCGTCCCTCCCTGTCCTGCCTATAGAGCTTATATTCAGGAATGACTGTATCCCATAGATTTTCCCTATTCCACAATGTTTCTGAGATACCTACTATATCTAAGTTGTCATTGAACACCAAGCACTCTAGCTCCACCATCTTGGCTTGGAGACTTCTAGCAATGGAACATAGACACCTATAATGCGTTTCCTTCTCCAGTAACCCTCATCTCCCTCAGCCCCTTAGTCACCACACATGGCCCTCAGTCGCCATCATGCCCTCACTCCCAAGTTCTATTATATACCTATCAATATTACCCTGAGTGTTTATGCAATCATCCCTTTAGACTGATTTGTCCCAAACCAGAGGCTCCCAGCCTTCCTCCCAGCACCACTTTCTCATACATGCATTGAGACCCATTCAGTGCCTCTCTAGCTGGCCCTGGGCATGGAACCAGAAGCACTTCTGAAATTGCTACTTGCCCTTTAATTTTCTGCTTAGTAACCTAAATTTTTCCTCCAAGACCACATGACTGCATTTCCCAATGTCATTGGTGCCAACATGCACTGTGATTGCTAACTCCTACCCAGCACTCTCTGTCAGCCTATCTAGACAGTGCATGATGTCTACAACCTTGGCGCCAGACAGGCAAGTCACCATGCAGTCAAAATGCAGTCACAGACCCCTCTCTCTATATTCCTAATGATCGAGTCACCCACTACCAGAAGCCCAACTCCCCCCAGCCACTCAGGGGTATCCTCGGAATGAGAGGATAGCAATCCATTGCTGAAGGAAGGGGTCCCTTCTAAGGGATCACCTCCCTCCTCCTCAGACTGATGCCCTCCGACCTCAAGACTCTCACTCTCCACAACAGCAGAAGAGCTGCCAGCCAGGAGCGGGACTGTTGTGGTAAGTCTCCAAGGGTCTCTTCCCCAAACCTCTCTCTCTGCCTCAGCTTCTCCAGGTCGGCAACCCTAGCCTCAAGGGAACAAACCTGCTCCCTGAGAGCCATGTGCTCCATGCAGCAAGCACACACCTATGATTTCCACCCAGTGGGTAGATAATCGTATACGTGGCACTCTCTGCAAAACACTGGATAGCCCCCGCTTCATCCTGGCTTTCTACCTTCATAACTGGTTAGTGGCTTGAAGGTATCTAGAGTAATGAAGGGTCCTCAGGTCTGATTCCCAGGCTAAGAACCCTCTGAATCTCGCCCTTTGGCTCCTGCCTTTGCCTAGGAGAAGCCTTACAGTTCAGAGGCCCACAGCCCTCACCTCCCTGCAGCAACAGCAGAGGGTGGTGCCTGCAATCAGCCTCAGGCAAACTGATATTGTTCAATGAGCAACAGACCAGACAAAAGACCCAAATAGGCCCAGACAAAAAAACACTCTCCAGCAGGCTACAAGCACCCACTCACCCTCAAACTCTGTCCTCTCATAAAACAACCTCAGTTAATGCTTCCCAATAGTTTAGCAGTTTAGGAAAGGCAAAAACAAAAAACATTGACCTTCCCAGTAGCTCTCTCCTGGGTTCTTTCTCCCAGCCCAGCTGGCTCAGTTAAATGTCCATTTATTCTTTTGCATAGGGACTGACCTGTTTCTCCGACATAGAGAGTGGAATGCCACTGCTGACATTTGATGGCATATATAACATTAGAAGATGAACAAGTGAATGAACCTGAGATGGTATGGTTAGGTCGTTACCAATTCCATAGCCTATTTAAGCTAATAGTAGAATTTAATACCATTTGCCTCAACAAGTCAAAGAGTAAATACTTGAACTTTAATGGGCTGTGTTTCAGGTTGATAATGCAATTTGCATACCTTGGTTAGTATTTTTTTCCAACTGTGACAAATTACTGCATTCAGCATTTACAACAGCTTGAACATGATCCCTTTAGGCTCCCAGAAAAATAGGTTATGATATTGTTTGGCATACAGAAGTATTGTACAAATCTTAGCTTGCAGTTATAAGAAAAAATCGCTCAAGATGTTTTAGGAGTAAGAGGAGTATGTTAAAATATTCTTAAGCAGAACTGTGATTTACAAAGGAAAAGATAGCCAGATAGTTAGATTGTAACTGACTTTTCGTTTGTTTTTTTAAAAACAGTAGTAACTCCCAAAATTTTATTTATATTTTTATCCCACTCTTCCTCTGACAGCTAGATGTAGCAACCCTGAGAGGTAGGTTAGCTGAGATAGTGTAACTGGCTCAAGAGCACCTG